GTGTCTGTGTGTGTGTGTGTGTGTGTGTGTGTGTGTGCGTGTGTGTGTGTGTGTGTGTGTATGAATATGTCACTATAAACACATTCTTGATATACCTTGCTTGCTCAGAGATAAGGCTGGGGACGTCCACGCAATCAGGTTCCTTACACTCCACGCGACACATTGATTGGGGTCGACCTTCTCATTCAAAGCACCGCTTTCTCTCTCTCCCTTTCGTGTACATGCTTGTAAGCTTCGTTGTGTGCTATCATTAACGTGTGTTTGAACACTTTCGTGTGCACTTACACCACTATCCCATTGTGTCTTAATCAGCACTCTCATGCCCTGCTTAGGCTCGTTCAACGTGAATCCATCGTTGAGCGTGTCGCCCGCCGAGGTGCCGAAATCAGATAGCATGTTGGCGGGTTTTGTATATAGTCTAAGTAATAGAAATGAATTCTTTGTTATACTATATAGAGTGTAGTAAGATAATACTTACTCAGATATGATATAAAGAGCGCTGGTGCACTTGAGCCATCATGTGGTTACCTATGTGATAATAATCAACATGCACTATTCAACTGCATGTGTGTTTTACAAAGCTAGGTGTCTAGCCATCACCCACTTCCTTTCATACAAAAGGTACAGCTCAGTGTGTGTATATGTGAAACTAAACTCTCATAAGACAATACAACACATACACATACAGTATGGAACCATGATGAGATAAACACTCTAGCGCAACTAAATATACAAAATATTTAAATATAAATATACTAAAAAATGTTCAACACGAGAGAGGCCGTGTATGAAGTTATAAATAAGAACATAAGGGGTGTATAAAATGCCGCCCTTTTTTTAAAGCCAATCTTTCGTAGTGTGCTAATCCGATTGGTTGGGCTGACAGACATCAATTCGAGCTTCACCAGTGACAAGTGTCTACACAACCACATAACTACCCTCTATAAAAATATGCCGTAAACATCTACTACAACAAAATGGCTGTCTGCGATCATGAAACATATCGCCAAACCTCAATAGAGATGCCCAGGTGTTGACACACGAGTGACTATTCGCTTTGAAGCCGTTGTAATAGTTGATAAGTGCCGACTCCTTTCTCCAGAGGGTCGTATACCGTTATTTAGATAGTATATATATATATATATATATATATATATATATTTTATATATATTATATAGATATATATATAGATATAGATATATAGATATA